AAAATGTATTATTCCGGGCCGGCCCGGTGGCGCACTGGATGGTGCGCCGCTTGGGAAGCGCGGCGGCGCTCCCGTCCGAGGGTTCGGATCCCATATGCAGACCGGTTCCCGCTCACTGGCTGAGCGAGGCGCGGGGGCAACGCCGAGGTTTGCGATCCCGTTGCCGGTCCCCGGTCCGGTGCGGGGGCAACACTGAGGGTTGCAATCCGTTGCCAGGACACGGAAAAAAGACAAAAGAAAAAAAAAAAAAAAAAAAAAATGTATTATTCCTTCTGAGTTATACCCTTTTATCCATCGCTCTCAGATATTTTCTTCATGAATGTCATTTCCTTCACATTTATTTGGAAATCTATAATTTTTATGATCATTCTATAACTTAACTATATGTTAGCATATCATTAGCAGCTGTCATTTCTATAAAATCATTGTAATCATGTTTCACATGCAGACTATCACCTTGCAAATGTAGGTTTATAGACCACGATTTGGAATAATATAATGTTTTATGTTACTAGATACCTTCAGTGACTCACCGGTTTGGCCCTGGATCCCGTCATTGTCTGATATAGCAGCTGTGTTTTTCAATATGGGAATTGATTTTAGATCTTTATTTCCTCTGGAGAATCTTCAGCCGGACTTTAATGAAGACAGTCTAGTGTAAGTTTTCTTTTCATAATTAACTCCAAAAACATCATTTTAGACAACTTACATATAATAACAGTTAATATTAATTTAATAAATTCAGTATTCATTCTTGATTTTTTTTTTTTAATTTCTCAAAGTTGAGATCAATCTTGAATTACATCATTCTTAACATCTGTCTTAATCTAAAAGCCATCATCATGTTTATCAGGGAAATGATAGAAACATTTCTATAACAACTAAAAAAAAAAAAAACTGCCCACTGTTATTTAACATTGTTTTGGAGGTATTGGTCAAAAGCAGTTAGACAAGAGAAGAAAATAAGATATAAAAATTGGAAAGGAGTTGGTGAAAATTGGTTATTTGCAGAAGTGATTTAATCTACACATAGAAGCCTAAGAGTCAACTGAAAAACTATGACAAAAAGTAAGAGAATTTGGTATGGGTGCCAGGGTACAAATTTAAAGATAAATCAGTAACCCTCAGATATCTGAACTATAACTAGTTAAAAGATAGATAGAAGAAAAGACTTCCTTTCCAATAGTTAAAAAATAAAGGAAGAGGGGCCGGCCCGGTGGCGCACTGGATAAGTGCGCCGCTTGGGAAGCGCGGTGGCGCTCCTGCCCGAGGGTTCGGATCCCACATACAGACCGGTTCCCGCTCACTGGCTGAGCGAGGCGCGGGGGCAACACCGAGGGTTGCGATCCCGTTGCCGGTCCCCGGTCCGGTAAGGGGGCAACACTGAGGGTTGTGATCTGTTGCCAGACACGGAAAAAGACAAAAAAAGACAAAAAAAATAAATAAATAAATCTCAACCTAGTCATCAGAACACATCAGGCAAATTCAAATCCAAGAATCTTTTACAACAGGGGTTGGCAAACTGCAACCTGAGGACCAAATCTGAACCTCTGCCTATCTTCATAAATGAGTGATACTGGAACACAGCCATGATCATTCATTTTCGTATGGTCTAAGGCTGCTTGCAACAGTAAAGTAGTTGCAACAGAGACCACATGGCCTGCAAAGCCAAAAATATTTACTACCTGGCCTTTGATATTTTGAAAAAGCTGGCTGATCCCTAGTCTACAAGATAACTTTTTTTGAAAGGTCAATACTCTTCAAAAGTGTCAAGGTCATGAAAAACAAGGAAAGACTGAGGAATTGTCACATACTGGAGGAGACTACAAGTATAGGGGCAGCCAGTTAGCTCACTCGGGAGAGTGTGTTGATGACAACACCAAGTCAAGGGTTAAGATCCCCTTACCAGTTGTCTTTTTTTAGAAAAAAAAAAGAATATCCAGGGAAGTAATGAGGTAGGACTAGAATCAGCAGATAATAAAACAGTATGGTCCAAAGCTCCATCACTGGAACAAAATAAAGAAGTCCGAAATAGACCCAAATACATATAGGTATTTAATATATGCTAAAGGTAGCCATTTCAAAAAATGAGGAAAGAGTGAGCTATTCAGTATCTGGTATTACCCAGTAGCTGGAAAACCATGTAGCCATCTGGTAAAACATTTTGGATTTATACCTCAAACTTACACATTTATATCTTCGATCAATTTATACAATGAAAGAAAGCATTAATAGAAGAAACTGGAAGAGTTTTTTTTTTTAATCCTGGAAGAAGGGAAGATGGTTTTATATATAAAGTAACACCCAGAAGCCATAAAAGGAAATATTAACTTATTTGACCATATTTTTTTAATCCGCGTGACAGTAATCATTGTAGGGCTGGCTGGTTTGCTCAGCTGGTTAGAGCGAAGTGTTAAAACACCAAGGTCAAGAGTTCGGATCCCCATACCAACCAGCCACCAAAAAAGGCAAAATAATCATTGTAAACAAAATCAGAGAAAAACCTCAAATTGGAGGAGGAGCAAAAATGTGCGTATGTGTAAGTCTTATTTTCAAGTCAATAAGAAAAAGATCAATAAACCTGTTAGAAAAATTAGCAAAGGAAATGAATAGACTGATCACAGAAAAGGAAGTAAAAACGGTTCTTAAACATTATGAGAATATATTCAAGTTCACTTCTGAAAAAAATGCAAATTCTTATAACTTGGCGTGTCCAAAACCAAACTCTCCATTTCTCCAGTTCTCCTTCCACCCTATACAGCATCCTTTGTTACTCAGATGTAATTTATGTCTGAAAATGTGTTGGATAGCAAATGCTCAGAGACTATATTCTAACACTTTATATAGGAGAAATAATGCTTGCCCAGCCATCCCAAAACCCTAATTATTTTCCCCAAATATTACTAAAATGCTCTTCGACATATATATTTTAAAAGTTACCATATACTTCTGCATAATATAAACATTTAAAATACCAGCTACACTCACAACACTTTTGACACCAAACGTATGGATTTTCCACACATTATAATTCTTCAGTTCTATGTGGATACCAACTAGATGTCCTACAATTCAATTTAGTTCTGGCACTAACTACCCAGAGTTGGTGCAGACCTCACTGGTTAAGGGTTCAGTCCCACAAGACTGCCACCACTTCATATGCCAGTCACAAGTCCAGGCCTCCAAAATTTCTGATCAATCAGCTATAAATTGGGAGTTCCCACAACTTCCTCTTCAGGTATGATAATTTGCTAGGATGGCTCACAGAACTCAGGAAAAATTTGCTTACTATTACTGGCTTATTGTAAAGGATACAACTCACGAACAGCCAAATGAAAGAGATAAATAGGGCAAGGTGTGCGGATGGGAGTACATGGTCTCCCATGCCCTCTCTGGGGTGCACCACCCTCCCAACATCTTGATGTGTTCACAAACCATGAAGCTCTCCAAATGGCTTTTTTTGGAGGTTCCATTATACAGGAATGATTGATAAAAGCATTGCCTTGATGATTAACTCAATCTCTAGTCCCTCCGGGTGGTACTGAAAGTTTGAACCCTCCAATCACATGTTGGTTACTCTGGCAACCAGCCACCGTCCTTGTAGTCATCTTCTTAGCATAAACTCAAGTATGGTTGAAAGGGACTTATTGTGAGTAACAAAAGAGGTTTGTTCTTATTACCCTTATCACTCAGAAACACCAAGAGTTTTAGGACCGCAGCCAGGAATCAGGGACAAATACCAAATATATTTCTTATTACACCACAGGAAAACGTATACTCTTCATATATTTGTTTGTTTATACATAAAATGCCTGTAGAAGGAAGGACTGAGACTAGTAGTAATTGTCTGTGGGGAGAGGAAATGGGTGGCTGAAAGGCCAGACTGGGAGGGCAGTTCACAGCATACTGTACCTTGACATGTTTTGATGGGGTTTTTTTAATATATATGAATATTTTTTTTTCCAAAAAACTAAACAAAAATATCATCTGTCTTTTGAAAGCCAAGTTCATGTATCTTCTCTTCCATGGCCTTCACTGGTGACCTCAACCGGAATTGGAGTGCTTAGAATTGTTTCTTTATTTTGTTACAGCAGTTTCTTTTGTTATTGGTGGCTGTCCAGTACAGGGATTAAACCCTGGATCTTGGTGTTAATGAGCACCATGCTCTAACTAACTGACCTAAATGCCCAGCCTGCTACAGCAGTTTCATTAAGCCACTCATGAAGACTTTAACTATTTTGAGTTCTTTGTAGTCAGAGCCCCCTTCTACATCACTTTCTAACACCAAAAGCAATGAGGATAGTACAGTTGGCGCTTCGTATCTGCAGGTTACATGTCTGAAGATTCAGCCAACTGAGGACCAGAAATATTCAGGGAAAAAAAGTAGCAATACAACAATAAAAAATAAAACAAAAAATACAGTATAACAAATATTTACATAGCATGTACATTGTACAAAGCATTATAAGTAATCTAAAGATGATTTAAAGTATATGAGAGGATTGCATAGGTTATATGCAAATACAGTGCCATTTTATATAAGGGACTTGAGCATCCTCGGATACCAAAATCCACGGTGGTTCTGGAACCATTCCCCACAGATACCAAGTGATGACTGTACCTTATAAAAAGTATCTCGTTCAAGGAAAAACTAATGCATAGAGTCAGGGACAGGAGATTGACTCAGATCTGGCATTAAGGGACTTTCGGGAGTAATGGAAGTGTTCTATTTCTTGATTCAGATAGTGGTTACATTAGTATATATGCTTATCAAAACTTAAAATCGGTACATTCTTTTTATTGTGTGTCAATTATACCTCAACAAAATGTCTTTTAAAAAGTAGTTGTTGGGGGCTGGCCGGTTAGCTCAGTTGGTTAGAGCGTGGTGTTATAATGCCAAGTCGAGGGTTTGGATCCCCTTACCAGCCAGCCGCCAAAAAAGTTATTCTTCAGTATGTCTTAAAGTAATTATTTTGTGCCTAATTTCACATCGTTTTGTTCACTTCTCAATAGTTCTGAAACACAGACATCTGGGGGAAAAGGAAGTGAAGATTTATCCTATAAGCCAGTTTTTTCAAGTCTTCCTGAAACCAACATTTTAAATGTGGTTAAGGTAGGAAGAAACTTTTCTGTATGTCTTTAGCATAGAGCTAGAATCATTTAGTTTTGTGGTTAATGGTTTTTTTAAAAAATCACTTGTTTCTTACCAGGTGATTTTTACCAGTCTGAAATTTCTTAGCAATAATGTTTGTATCAAAATTTATTTTTGCTGTTTTTATTTTTGTTTTAATATTAGGAGTAAAAGGGAACTTTACTCAGTTATGTCATTAAAATAGCTTTGAAACCAATAATTTTTTAGAATTAGAATGTATGAAGGAAAAAAGCATTACTTAACAATTTTAACTTAGTGATCAAGAATTAATAATATAAAAGAAGAACAAAAGACAAAAAACATCAAAAAAAAACCAAAGTAAAAAACAAAAACAAGACAATAATAGTGTGAAAACATTTTTAGTGGCTGAATCAAATCAATGATACTAAACAAGAAAATCTTAAAAATGAAAAATGAAGAAAATATTACTTAATTCAACTTTTAACATGAGTATTTCTTGCCTTCCTTGTTATAGACATCTGATACTTGTTTTCTTTGTAGTTCCATTGCATCTTTTGTCAAAAAGATTTTATATTTAAAATTCTTCAAGCAAAATATATCTCCTAAAGTTGTTCTGTCTGTGCATTTGTGTTAAAAAGTTTCTAGGCTTATGTACATCTATACATCCAGAAGGTTACCAGGATCGTGAAATAATGTTGCTGATTTTAATGTTGTTTAAAATGAGTTTGGAAAAACAGCTGAAACAGATTCCTCTAGTTGACCTTCAAAGCCTCCTGATAAACCTGATGAAAAACATCAGAGATTGGAACACAAAGGTAACATTACTTAAAATTTCAGTATTGTTTTTTTGTACAGCATCACAATTTGACTTTCATAGTGCATACAGGATTAATTCTGTTTCTAAGCTCTATTAAGATCTTTGGCAGATTAAAAATAAACTGAGGAAGGGACTGTTTGCTGGAACTGTATTATTTCATGATAATTGAATCTTTTCTCAAACTGCAGCTATTGACAAAAATGTTCATTGGAGAATTCCTGTGGACTAAGCATTAATATAGATGCTGGAAATTCAGCTGTGGAAAAACAAAAAGCCTTTGCCCTCATGGGGTTTTTGTCCTAGTCAGAGGGTTAGATAATAAACAAGTAAATGTAGATTGTAATATCATGTCAGGTTGTAATTAAGTGAGGCAAATTAAAATAAAGCAGAATACAGGTATAGGAGATAGCAAGGCAAGAATGCTATGTTATTTCATATGAGGCAATCAGGGAAGGCCTTTCTGAAATGACGTTTGAGCAAGAGACCGAAGTGAAATGATAGACTGAGTCATACTTACAACAGGAATTGGAGTTGAACAGTTGTAGCTATATGGAGGGTGAACATGGGTAATTTTTGTTAGTCCTTTTTAAAAATTATATTTTTTACCTTTTTTCAGTGGAAAACTTAAAACGTGCAGTAGAGAGAAGAGTGTAAAGTACCCCTAAGCACCTATCACCCAGTTTCAACCATTATCAAGATTTAGTCATTCTCGTCTAATCTGTTAACCCCACCCCATACTTCCTTCCTCTACTCATCAGATTATTTTGAAGCAATTGTTAGGCTTTTAAAATACTAGAATAAGATCTCTAAAGTACAAGAAATCACAGATCAGGCACACATATGATCTTGTGCAATTCTTATTATACCCATTTGGTAACTGGCATTTGTGTTTATAGCACTTTATTCTTCCAAGAAGGACTGCTTAAATATAGATAGAGATATGATGTAGCACAAAACATAAAAGCCAAGGGAAATTCTGATAAATGTAGCTGTTTGGTCTGTTTAAGATAGTTTAAGATAAAATTGAATCTGTGTATTGTGTACATTTTAGCAGGTTCTAGACGCTGTGCTATTTCTAAAAATGAGTGCTCTGTTTTGTAATAGTGCTTCCATTAGGGTAAGAAGGGATGTAGGTGGTGTGTTGGATGTTTAATTCTGCTGTCCTGTTTGAAAAGAAATCTTGTCTGTTCTTTTTCTTGAGGTTCCTGAACTCTGTCTGGGTATAAATGAACTCTCCAGTCATCCCCACAACCTTCTGTGGTTGGTACAGCTTGTCCCTAACTGGACATCACGTGGAAGGTATTGAAAGTGAGAATTAAACATTAAGAAATTTTATAATGTTAAAGAAATGCTTTAATTCCATTCATTATTCTTTGAATGATAGATCATAGTCTTTTATTACATATTGTATTGTAGGAAAAGGCACTGATATCCTGATTCTTGTTTAGATCATTCTGTAATATTCTTGATTTTTAATTTCAGTTTATCTGATAACTTAATTCACAATATAAAAATAAATGAATTAGCATTTTTTTTACTTTAGTAAAAATAAATTCCAGCAGTAAGACAGATTTTCTACCACTAAATCAGCAGGGTCAAAGTTAAAGGCTCTTTGTTATAACACAAAGGTCAAGGGTTTGGATCCCTGTACTAGCCAGCCACCAAAAAAAAAAAAAAAAAGATAAAAGCTCTTAATGATTTACCAAGCTTCAGGGAACTCTTTCTAACTTTTTGTGCATATATTTTACATGAAAATTTTACTGTTCTTTGACATCTTATACATTCTTGTATAGCCTCTTGAAACATTGTCTATGTTTTCAATTAGAATTAGAAGAACTGCTCATTCATTTGCTTCTCAAGCAGTATTGATTAAAATATATTCTAAATACTTTAAATTCTAATTTCAGGCAACTGAGGCAGTGCCTCAGTCTAGTGATAATTTCAAAGCTTTTGGATGAGAAACATGAAGATGTCCCTAATGCCAATAATCTTCAGGTATAAATACATTTTTTGTTTTTAATAAATGAGAGAAGTAGTGAGGTTTGGGAAAATTAATGAATCCTAAGTCAAAAGTCCTGAGGTTAGATCTCAACTCTCAGGCATGATACTATTCATGTAATCTTTAGTATGGTACTTAACTAAAAAGATCCAGTTTCTTCATCTGTGAAATTGAGATGGTATTACCCTTCTAACACATAGGGTGGTGTGGACAATCAGAAAAATTAATGTATAAACTAACTACTGGGAAATTATATGTGCTATTATATGAATATGACATTATTTATTAAATTCATCTTATCAAGGTTAGCAATTTTATCACAAGATTAGAAATGTAGAACTATTTTACATTATTGCATCTTGTACCTGTTTTAGTATTAGTCTTTTTAGATCATAGAGCTTAAATGTGGTTGCCCTCCAGTACTTGTTCAGTAGTGACTATGTTATGTCTATATATGAGTGTGTATGAATATGTCCTGTGGGATCTGGCCGGTTAGCCCAGTTGTTAGAGTATGGTGCTGATAACACCAAGATCCAGCCAGAGTTCAATCCCTGTACCAGCCCAACACCAACAAAAAAAACATCTTATGCAAGTCCCACTCTGAGAAGTACTGAATAAAGGCTTTTTACAAACATTGATAGCACTGATGATGCTACCCTTAGTTGGATTTGAAAACTCACCATCAGGGCTGGCCCATGGTTCACTTGGGAGAGTGTGGTGCTGGTAACACCAAGGCCACGGGTTAGGATCCCTATATAGGGATGGCTGGTTAACTCACTTCGGAAAGTGTGGTGCTGACAACACCAAGTCAAGGATTAAGATCCCCTTATCGGTCATCTTTTAAAAAAAAAGAAAGAAAGAAAGAAAACTCACCATAGAACCTGATCTGGATGTCCCTGTGTTCTAATTACAATTGAAGTACAAGGTACTCCTCCAGGTCCTAGGGGTTAAAAAAAAAAAAAAAGATGAATTAGATTAGAGACTCTGCTCTTGAGAACATTATCTGTGATTGAAACAAAATAAACGAACCAGTGATAGAAGTATGCACAGAGTGCTGTGGGATGGAGAGATTGATAGGGAGAGCTAATTTCTGCTTTAGTGGAATGAGGTAAATTTGATTCGAGAAACATGGGGACTACTCTTGAGTCACCAGGATAGTTAGCAAATAGCTCTCAATCTTTTCAGCAATACTGCTGCCATCAAAAGAGATCCAGGTGGGAATGTTCAAGCCTCCCCACCCCCCAAATTTAAATTTAAAAATAAATTTTTTTAAATTAAAAATAAATTTTAAAAAAAGAAAGATCCAGGGATAGGATTTCTAACATCTGCCTCCTAACTTTTGTTTGTTGTTACCTTTTTTTTCCTTTCCTTTTTTTTTCATTTATATAAAATAGAACTACATGAGTAATTAACCCTCAGACTCATTAATTGGTATTCAGATTACACAATCTAGTTGATTTTCCCCCAAACTTCTTGTAATACTACTTTTCATAATTCAATGACATCTATCCACAGTGAGATTCAACTTTGTTGCCTTTTAAATAATTTCAGAAAGCATTCCCTATGACCTCTATTGTTAATATCATTTGGTCTCCTCCTAAGCATTTATCCTTAAATTATAAATACTAAATCTTTAACTTGAAATCCCTTTTTAAGCAACTGATGACTTTTAGGTAAAGGGGAAATGGATATCATTGGACTATAAAGAAAGCTAAAGGGACAAAATTAGAGAAGGCAAAATGAACAGAGGACACACTACAAAAAGCAACTCTATTGCTTAGTATTGCTCAATGTCTCCTCTTTCTTTTGATAGATATCAGTCCTACATCGCTATCTTGTGCAAATGAAGCCTTCTGATTTGTTAAAGAAAATGATCTCGAAGAAAAGGGCTGAACAACCAAATGGCGCTATTGATGACAGTCTTCATTTAGAACTTGAAAAGCAGGTATCCAGGGCTAGACGATCTCAAAGAGTACATATGAACATAACATACCAATTTCCTAACCACAGACTGATAGCATAGGCATTTTTGGATTTAGAGACTAGGTACATTCTAGCAAACAATTTTAAAGTGAATTTTTTTTATCGCAGTCACCAAATTCTTCAGTAAACTTGACAGTTGAAAGTTTAGGTAAAAGGATGGTTGTTGGTAGTTTAATACTGGGAGGTTTTTTTGTAGACCTTTACTAGGGCACTCATGAGATGGTAAAAAGAATGCACTTGAGTTAAAAATCAGACAGCCTAGTGTAGATGCTTGGTTTTTCCGTACTTATCTGCTGGGTTAACTTCAGCAAATCCTTTATCCCTCCTGGGCAACTTTCCTAATGGGTAAACTGGTATGATATCTTTGCTAGCTAATTCATGGGTGTTAATTTTTAATCATTTCTCTAACAGGCATATTACCTGACCTACATTCTTCTTCATTTAGTCGGTGAAGTTAGTTGTTCTTATTCTTTTTCTTCTGCACAACGGGTAGGTAATGTTTAGTGTTTTTGTTGTCTTTAAATAGACGTCACTATTGATGGAGTAAATGAGCATGCTTAATATAGAAAGAAACTTAAGAAAAATTAACTGGTTTTGCTACAGAAATCCCAGTGTACAATGGAAAGAAGGGAGTAATAGAAACCTTGCAACCATATCATATTGACAAGAATTATTTGTCAGCAAATGTTAGTTCTGTTTGTTGGAGTGGAAATTAACTATTATAATTTGGCAACAGTATATTTGTAAGATACCAATGTAGGCCGGCTTTTAGCTGGTTTCATCACATCTTTTCTACCACCCACCTTTTTTGTTTTCTGTATGAATAACATTTGCCTTCAAAAATTAAATTGATGGTAAGTCAGGCTACTTCAGAAATGTGTTTCTAAATTATCTCCCCATATTAAGATTTTTATTCTGAATTATTCTGTTCTCAGATTCCTGGGAAAAGTTCTTATTTATTTGGGTTTTTTAAAATTCATTTTTAAGGCTGGCCCCATGGCTCACTCAGGAGAGTGTGGCGCTGATAGCGCCGAGGCCGCGTATTCGGATTCTATATAGGGATGGCCGGTGCGCTCACTGGTTGAGCCTGGTGCGGACCATACCGTGCTGAGGGTTGCGATCCCCTTACCGTCAAAAAAATAAAATTCAGTTTTATATTTATTTTTGTGGGGTACAACATGTTGTTTTAATTCATGCATATTTTGCACAATGATTCACTTGTGGTAGATAGCATAGTTTTGTCATAGTTCACCCATAATCTTCCCTCCTACCCCTACCCTTCCCAGCCTCTGGATAACCATTATTCTACTCTCTACTTTAAAAAAAAAAAAACACAAAGATTACCATCCTTATTACAAAAAGAACTCTTAAAAATGAATTAGAAAAATCTAAACAAATTTGGTGAAGCACATGAGCTAATAAGTCACACACCCCAAAGAAACACGTGGTTAATAAGTACATTCTAGGATCTGGTTGCAGGTGGGGGTGGGGCTGACCCAGCCACCATCTCAGGATCCTTGGCATCAGCTGGTTTCATTTCTGGCCTGGATGTGCAGTGGGGTTGGGGCTAAGGCCCCTAGCCCCCATCTCCCAGGACCCCCTTGGGTTTTGGGCTGGCTCTGTTGCTAGTCTGGATGTGCCAGGAAAATTCTTGTTTAATTCCTTGTGTTTCATATTTTAGCTGTTCAAATCCCTGTTTTGAAACTTAGTATCTCCTAAGCATGATAAAAAGGACACAAGACTAGTTCATGTGTTTTTATAAATGCTGTGGTACATAGAACTGTTTGCTCTCCCTATTGGAAACTAATATAGTCATCTTCTGTAATGTTCTTATATGGTCTTGACATTTTCTAAATTAGTTTTTTCTGATTAAAAAACAATGATTATTGTGAAACTGTATAAGGTAGAAAGTGAAAGATTCGTACAATCCAGCCCCCTCCCATCAATTTCTCCATAATTTATGCATATACTAACAAAGGGATTTGATAATCTGTGGATTTGGGTATCTGGGGAGGGGGTCCTTGAACAAATCCTCCACAGATATCATGGGACAACTGTATATGAGAGTGACTATTTGAGAGTATGTGCTTCCAAAATGTAAGACAGTTTTTCTAACAAGGAAGTAAGATCCTCTATTAATAAAAGCTTAGTTGTTTATAGAGATAAAAATAGGTTAGCTGTTATTTTAATATTCCATTAGAGAATGTAGTCTGAGTACTACGTCACCTAGTCTGAGCTCTGAGGTTATTTTCATTAATGTGAGTTAATACATAGCAAAAAAACTTTTATTATTGTTAATGTTTTTAAAATTAACTAGCAGTAAACCTTAATAATCTTATTGTTGTGGAAGTGATTACTTTCACTGGTATGACTGGTACTATGTTAGATGGTTAACATCAGAAATTGCTAATTGGGGAATAGTAGATTTTTTAAATGCTTTAGTTGTTCTAACTGCATAATCTCTTCTTTGTTAATTTGTAATGCTTCAGAGTTTTCATCCTTTACATTTGTTTTGCACAGAAACACTTTGTGCTACTCTGTGGGGCTTTGGAAAAGCATGTTAAATGTGATATCAGGGAAGATGCAAGACTTTTTTACAGAACTAAGGTAAGTGTTTTTTTCCTTACATATTAGTTTTTTTTATTTAATCTTGGTTACATTAGTATTTAAGGAAGAGAAGCATATAAGCCTCTCTTTAAAAAACATGTAAGATTGGAAATATGACTTTCTCCTTTACTGACAGAAATCAACTTCTGCTAAGTACTTCTAGCTAGATTGAAAGTGAAAGGAAAAATCTCAAAGCAAATACATTTTTCACTTTCTATCCTGAAATTCGCGACACCAAAGGAAAAAAATACTTTCAGTACTAACGAAACATCTTAGTATTTTCCCATTGTATAGATGAAAGCCTTTATGCTTGTTAGCTTTAAGAATTGAAGCATTGTTTAAATAAATATATGTTTTGAAATTTTATTATGATTGAAAACTTGTTTTATTCATAGAGAAGAAATAGATTTAGCTGTTATTCTTTGAATATTCCACTGAAGAATGTGTTAAAAGAAGGACTCTTCAGATCTCTGGGTCCTATGTCACCCAGTCTGAGCTCAAGGATGGAAATGATTCTACAGTAAGCTTACTAAGCTTTTTTTTTTTTTTTTTTTTTAGGTTTTGTATAAACTTGTTTTATTCATAGAGAAGAAATAGATTTAGCTGTTATTCTTTGAATATTCCACTGAAGAATGTGTTAAAAGAAGGACTCTTCAGATCTCTGGGTCCTATGTCACCCAGTCTGAGCTCAAGGATGGAAATGATTCTACAGTAAGCTTACTAAGCTTTTTTTTTTTTTTTTTTTTAAGGTTTTGTATACTCAAAGACAGTAGAAGGGCCGGCCTGTGGCTCACTTGGGAGACTGTGGTGCTGATAAGACCAAGGCCACAGGTTCGGATCCCCATATAGGGGATGGCCGGTTAGCTCACTTGGGAGAGTGTGGTGCTGACAACACCAAGTCAAGGGTTAAGATCCCCTTACCAGTCATCTTAAAAAAGAAAAAAAAAAAAAACAAAAGACAGTAGAAAAGGCAAATATGTGAGTATGGGATAGGAAACCAACTTCAGTATTAATAGAATAATTTGCCAGTTTTTCCTGAAACGTAAAATTAAAACAATACTCTTTTAAAGCTTTCTTCTAAGGATTTTTAATTCCCAATTCATCTTTTAGCTTTTGTAACCTAAAGCTTATTCTTTTTTCCCTCTTGTGTTTGGATAGGCATTGAATGTGAAGTCTCAGCTTTGTAACTTTATATCTTACATTAATTAGCCGCAAAGGTTAGTCATTTGAACAGTGCCCATTTGGATTTAGTTTATGTGTTTATTTTAGTAAATTTAAGTTAAATACAAAAATGAGCAACTAATGAAGTTGTATCAGATTTCAGATTTTCAGATACATATAGGGGATAGTTCTGTGCCTTAGAGTGCAAACCCTAGATTCAGAAGTATATTCTTTTGAACATTGACAAGAGTTACTGGCCTGTAGAACTTGGTGGTAGTGGCTGCTGCTGACAGACATGCTAAAGGGGACCACACAGAGTTTATGTTCCTTAAAGCCAAGGGCCTAGCATGGATTGGTGCCAGGGTTTCTCTTACTTAGGGTGGAGAGTGACAGAGTGGTCTATGGAAATAGCTTCAGGGGCTGGTCTTCCTGAAATAGATGAGTCTCATGTCTTTTCAAAAGCCTCTAGTTTGAAAAGTTGATTGTTTTGGAAAAACTTAATTTGCTGAATAGATGGAGAAAAAAGAAGAGGTTGCAATTTACTTTGTTTTTATTATTTTTTTCTTTTTTCTTTTGGCCACTTGGCATTATGAGGCAACACTCTAACCAATTAAGCTTACCGGCTAGCCCTACTTTATTTATTTATTTAATTATTCATTCATTCATTTAATTAATTTATTTATTTAATTAATTATTCATTCATTCATTTATTTAATTTATTTATTTATTTTTTACAGCTGGCTGGTAAGGGGATCTGAACCCTTGACCTTGGTGTTAAAACACCACCCTCTAACCAACTGAGGTCTGGCCAGCCCCACAATTTACTTTATAAACTTAAAGTAGCTGTAAAATTCCTGACTTGTTTAAGACATTTTTATCAAGCAGTTATGTTCAACAACTGAGACTCTCTAGAGTGGTAGAGTTTTGTTTTTGTGGTAAAGTTTGAGTTTTGCACGGAGACTTGCTTTTAGGAAAAAACACGCTGATGTGTTTTTCCCCCGTACTCTTACTCAGCAATAATCATCACAGAAGCCAACTTCTGTGACCAAATGTGTGGGGATTTCTCCCCATCAGCAAGCAAGGAAGCAAGCAATTAGCGAACACCAGCTGGATGAACTCTAATTCAATTCTGACACTATCTACCTGGAGACAGTGTCAGATCCCACAAGTTGATAGCTCAGTCCCTAAGACTGCCCCCCACTTGAGATGCCAGATGCAAGCCCTAGATTGTTTTATCTGTCCTGCTGACCAACTGGCTATAAATTGGGGTTCCTGAGAAACCCCCCACCCCTTTTGTGTTTAGTAGAGTTGCTTGAGCGGCTCACAGAACTCAGACAAACATTTACTTACATTTACCAGTTTATTATAAAAGATATTACAAAGGATACAGATGAAGAGACGCATAGGGCAAGGTATGGGAAAAAGGCCACAGAGCTTCCATGTCCTCCTTGGGTGCACCATCCTCCAGGAACCTCCATGTGTTCAGCTATCTGGAAATTTCCTAAACTCTGTACTCATGGGTTTTTGGTTTGGGGGGGGAGGGTAGCAGCTGGCTGGTGCAGTGTGCCCTTGGGTTTTTATGAAAACTTCATTACATAGGCATGATTGAAGGATGGACAACCATGTGGAAATGTGATTGGACAAGAAAGGGATGATCTAACACTAACAGACTTGGTGGGGAGACCCAGCAAGGCCTGTCTGTTCAGTTTCTTCTTGGCCTCTCTGTAGCATTCCTTCCTCCTGGGTATGGGGTAGGACCCCTTCTCGAATGAGGGTCTTATTGCCCACAATTAGATAGATAATAGGTCAGAGGATTTCTTTATGGCCAGCTTCTAGACAGAAAGGCAGTGGAAGATTAAAACAAGCTAGGAGCCATAGATGAAAACCAGAATATACATATCTTAATGTCACAGTTGCTAATCATACAGATGGAGGAATATGCCAGGTATTTAAAGAGGATTCATAGTACTTTGAAAAATATGGAGAGGAGTAACAGTGAACTTTGTATCTTCTGATAATGTGGAAATAAATGACAAGCTTTTTTTGTTGCATTGAGCATTCACAATGGGAAGGCTAGGAACAGCCAAAGCCTTGGACTCTATAACACAGACTATCCTTTGGCTTTTCTGTTTGGTTGTTCAAAAGCCAAGAAGTCAAAGTTCCTTTGAAGGCAGGAATATGTTTTTCTGGATGATCTTTAATAACTAACAGGAAAATTGAGTTCTAAGCATTTAGTATTTTAGATTTTGGTGATAAAGGAAAGTCTTATTAATTGCTATGATTTGAAAACCCCTTCAAGGTTTGGCCCATGGCTCACTTGGGAGAGTGTGGTGCTGATAACACCAAGGCCATGGGTTCAGATCCCTGTATAGGGGATGGCCGGTTGGCTCACTTGGGGGAGTGTGGTGCTGACAACACCAAGTCAAGGGTTAAGATCCCCTTACTGGTCATCTTTAAAAAAAAAAAAGAAAGAAAGAAAGAAAGAAAACCCCTCCAAAAGATGAATAGTTTTTCTCTTTCTTGACAAACGTCAAATTGAGTTGTTGGGCATGGGCCTATTGCAGCTATCAGATCTTTTGTAGCAAGTCTTAAATTGATTGTAGGTGAAGATGTTTTAATCTGATCCTTTTTCCTCTTTTTGTTATTTTTAAGGTGAAAGACCTGGTTGCCAGGATACATGGAAAATGGCAGGAAATAATCCAGAACTGTCGGCCTACTCAGGTGTCATTTTAGTAAACAGTTATTTATTCTTAATAGTTTTGCTAAATGGTACTTTTCATACTGTTTGAAACAAAGTATAACCAAGCATTTGCTTCTAGTTAACTTAAGATAAACTAAAAACGCATGATTTGTATATGTCTTTTAGTTTTTATTTGCTTTATATTTAGTAATTTATTTCCGGAAGTGGTTGAGCCCATTTTAAAATGTTACGTTGCATCTAATGGAAGTTATTCAGTGAGGAACATTTTTTTTAACAGCTCTATCAAGATACGATTCACATACCATACATTTCACTCACAGAATGCAGTGTTTTTAGTCTATTTACAGAGTAGAGATCCCATACCCATTAGCAGTCACACCCAATTCCTCTACCACTCTCATTCCCCTCTTCATTCCCCCCAAAGCCCTAGGCAAACACTAATCTACTTTCTGTCTGTATACATTTGCCTATTCTGGACATTTCCTATAAATGAGATACACTATGTGGGCTTTGTGACTGGCTTCTTTAACTTAACATAATAAGTGAATGAATCCATGTTGTGTCTTTCTGTTGCCAAATAATATTGCATTGTATGGATATATCACATTTTACTTATCCACTTATTAGATGGACATTTGGGTTATTTCCACTTTCTGGGTATTACAAATAATGCTTCCATGAACATTTGTAATCAGATTTTTGTGTGAATACGATATGTTTTCAAATGAAAGCATCTCAAGCATGTACCTGGGAGTGGAATTGCTGAGTCATATGGTAATTCTATGTTAAATGTTTTGAGGAACTGCCAGACAGTTTTCTAAAGTGGCTGCACCATTTTACATTCCAACCAGAATGTATGCGGTTTGTGATTTCTCCACATTCTTGCCAAAGCTTGTTATTGTCTGTCTTTTTGGCTAAAGCCATAGTAGGAAGTAGGAAGTAGAATCTTATTGTGGTTTTAATTTGCATTTCCCTAGTGACTAATGATGTTGAGCATCTTCTCATGTGCTTATTGGCCATTTGTATAGCATCTTTGGAGAAATGTCTATTCAGATCCTTTGCCTGTTTTTAAATTGGGTTATTTATCTTTTTATTATTAAGCTGTAAGAATTTTTCATATGCTCTAGATACAAGTCCCTTATTAAAAATATAATTTGCAAATATTTTTTCCCATCCTGTATGTTGTCTTTTCATTGTCTTGATGGTATAATTTGTAACACACAAATTTTTTATTGTAATGGAGTCCAGTTTATCTATTTTTTTGTTTTGTCACATATACTTTTGATGTCATATCTAAGGAGCCTTTGCTTAAGAGGGGCATTTTTTTTTTTAACACCTGCTAATAAGTTTGCCAGCCTGATTATTTACAAATTAACTGATGTAGGATTGTTTAAAATGATGCTTCTCAAATTTTAATACACATAGGAATCCAGTAGGAACTTGCCAAAATGTGGATTATGATTCATTAGGTCTGGGGTGGAACCTTAGATATGCTGCATTTCTAAGAAGTTCTCAGATTGACGCCAATGCTGCTGGTCCAGGAACTAAACTTTCAGTAGCCATTGCCCAGAAGTTGCTTATATTTTATATCAAAATAACAGGAATGCTGAATATTAACTAGGAAAAGCAATCTCACTATGTTGTGACATTTTGACTCTTGCTTTTGGTGACCATTAAGATATGCATGCCCTTGGGGTCGGCCCGGTGGCGCACTTGGTAGAGTGCGGCGCTTGGGAGCATGCTGGCGCTCCCGCCGAGGGTTCGGATCCCATATAGAGACTGGTCCGCTCACTGGTTGAGCGCGGTGCGGGCGCAACACTGAGGGTTGCGATCCCATTACCGGTCACGAAAAAAGACAAAAAGGAAAAAAAAAAAGATATGCATGCCCTTTTAGAGAAGTCTTTGAAAAATCTTATCTTTTGTTGTTGTTGTAGTTTCTAACATCATTAGATTTTTTTTTAGTCTGGCCATCTGTGTTGATATGGCATTAAAACAGAAAAGAATTTAAAAGCAAAACTTTACATTAATTATCTTAACATATTACTTAATCTCCTTAAATATGTCTCTCCGTGTATGTGATGGTGAGAAAAACATCCTGTTCTTATTTTATACTTTTTTTATTGTTAGACCACAAGATGTGAAATTTGAATCTGATTACCATAAATTTTCAGAGAAATGTACAATATAAAGATTTTATTGCTTTCATTATTAAAGCCCATTTTCTGATTAGGTTAGTAATTTTATAAGGATTGGTTTATAATATAATTAAGTTTATCTTGTTTTTTCCTCTTCCCTTTTCTAGGGGCAGCTTCATGACTTCTGGGTACCAGATTCTTAACAGGAGTTGCAGCAGCAAAAATATGAACCAAGAAAAATTCAATAAGAATCTTTTCTAGAAGAGTGGAATACTACAAAAGCCAATGGAATACTAAGAAAGTATACAGTGAATGTGCCGCTTGAATGTCTAGTATGAAGCTGGTAATGAAAAAATTGCCTTTCGGAAGGAGATATGAAATGTAATCTGCTTAGCTGTTAAGACAATTGACTTTTTTTTTTTTTTTTTTTTTTTTTTTTTTTTTTTTGTCTTTTTGTCTTTTTTCCGTGTCCGGCAATGGATCACAACCCTCAGTGTTGCCCCCGTACCGGGCCGGGGACCGGCAACGGGATTGCAACCCTCGGTGTTGCTCCCGCGCCTCGCTCAGCCAGTGAGCGAGAACCGGTCTGTGTGTGGGATCCGAACCCTCAGGCGGGAGCGCCTCCGCGCTTCCCAAGCGGCGCACTTATCCAGTGCACCACCAGGCCGGCCCGACAATTGACTTTTTAAACAAGCAGAGTACTATAGAAAGAAGGGAGGGGTAGAAACCCCTAATAGTTACACATCTAACCTGCCCCCATTAACTCCTCTTATTAAATTGTGAGCCAATTATCTTTAGATAGTATTTGTGGCACTTAGATAATCACAGGAAATGCGTAAGGAAAGAGTTTGGACCAGCTTGAATTGGACGTGGAAACCAAGACCACATTCCAGTTGTGTTTAATTTTCCCTTTTGGTTATTTTAGGATGCAAAGGGAAAGCTTAGAAGTGAGTTTAGTAATAAAAAGCATAAATCTCTTCTGTGACTCCTATAAACCACAGGGAGGTTTCAATCCATGCATTTTCTTTCACTGTTCAAGATTATAAATCTGTTAGATTTTTAAAATACATTTAAACAGTTGAGAAACAGAAGTTTGGTATGTTGTCAGGTCTCCTTAAGGGGAAGAGGTTAAGCTGCAAAGTAGTGGCTCTGTTTTTATGCCAAAATGTTGAAATGCAGTTTGTTTTGGATTTCTTTTAAATGCATATATGTTTTAAAATACTAGTTAAATCGTAGAATTTTGGCTAAATTGTAGAATTCTGGCCCTTAGTAAACATATTACAGAAGTCTATATTGTAAAAACTTAAAGATCTGGACAAGTTTCCAAAAACTTTGTTTCCATAATTATATATAACTTTGGCCAAGACCCAGATGGTGTTTATTCTTTGGGACACTGTGTGCTCATGCATGAGTGCACACATACATGTGTGCACATGCACACACTCATGTGCTTGTATCTTGAAGTTGTTGCACTTGAAAACCACAGCTGCTCTAAATTCTGAAACACTGGAAAGCCATCCTTTGCTTTAAATGGTGGAAGGATAGTAGAAGTGCACATGCTGGTTTAAGCACAAGGGCCCTTTGAAGCCTTTGGTGGTTAACAGACTCTTAATAGCTAACTGAAAGATTCTTTTGTTGACTGAGTGTCCTTTTTAGGATGGTTTACTTCCTGAAAGACAATGCCAACTTTTTTTTGTTCTTTCAGTATTGGCTTGGGTAATCTGCTCTCCTGAGCACTCTAGTGTCTCCGATTGTGGGGGGAAAAACTATGGAGGGGAAGGGAACTGAACTTGATATTTATGGTTTGAGAAAGGAGAAAATAAATTTTGAAAAATAACTTTCTACCTCTAAATTGAGGCTTAGGAGTAAAAGGCATTTTATCTTAAATTTATCATTTAACATAGCATCAGTTTTTTAGCTCACATCAAGCACTGGGCAGTTAGAGATTTTATAGGGAAGACTAAATAAATTCAGTTTCCAGGAATCCAGTCTGAATGAGGCTCCAAGAGTCAGACCAACAAAAGTTTTATTCTTTGTTGAGTTTACTGGTAAGAATATTATCTTGATACTACCTCTCAAGGGTATTGTTACAAAATGCCACTTATGGTTAAAGAGAGAGATTCAAAGAGTTATATTTGACAGAAGCTTGAAACTCTGGCATCTATCTGCCCAATAATGGGGATTCTCACTCTGTAATTTAACATTTTGTAGATACATTATTTGTGTGTAATTTTATAAGTGTTCATATTTTTCTCATTTTGCATTGTGTAAAGTGTACAAAATCTCAAAGTATAAAATACTGCTTATATTGCTTGTAATTACAGTGTGTAAATATTTTCTAATTGTGTACATTGACGGGGGGACAAGTGGGTTATTCAGGTTTTTTTTTAAGTGACCCTTTTGTATTGCAGTTTCAACAAATAACTGCCCATCAAGTTTAAAACCACTTTGATACATTTTTATTTAACAGTTCCAATAAGAAAAGTCTCTATTTTTAATTATCTTTCTCCATTAAAGAAAAATACTTAATCTGTCCCTATAAAATAAATTGCCAGACGTCAGTTTAGGCCCTTGTATTTATGACTCTGGTAGAGGTCTTCAGTCTCCAGGTCATAGTCCAGTCAGTATTTGCATTCTCATAAAAATGTTGTGATTCTCTTTTAGCACAAGTAGCCCATGGTTTTTCTCCCAAATCAAGTATTTTCCTTCTCCCTCTTAAGTCCCCATGCTTTGTCTCCCTCCTGCTATTGTTGCCCAATGAATGGGATGGTAGAGAGGGAGAAAATGTTCATTGCACAGAAAATGTCGGGTCACTTTTGAGGCTTGGCAAACAAAGCTTGCACTGAGTGGTGGTGTGTTTGGCAATATTACTGTGCCAAAAATCACCTTGTCTAATTTTCTGGATATGTATGTCAAACTTATTACCCTTATTGCAAGCTGAAAATTAAGGTACTTGTGTTTATGCTTTTGTGTGTAACTGTTTGCCTTTTCTAAAACGCTTTTCTTGTTATCTGAAAATATAATTCTATTAGTTATATCATGTTAAGTGAAGAGACTCTCCATGCACAAAACGCATCTATGTCGCAGTAAAGAGTATTTGTACATTTTCTATCTCCTGATGGCAGTGGTGCCTTTGCCACCTTTTGGAAAGTTAGCATCTTGTTTCTGTTTTGAAGGGTTAGTAGCTTGCTTTTGACTTACCAAAAATCTCCCCAGATGTAAAAGACAGAAAATGGCATGTTGTCATCCAGGCTCAGTTGGAACATTTGAATTTTTTTTTTCCTTTTTGTCTTTTTTCATGACCGGCAACGGATCGCAACCCTCAGTGTCGCACCCGTACCGGCCCGGGACCGGCAACGGGATCGCAACCCTCGGCGCTGCTCCCTGCACCTCGCTCAGTTAGTGAGCGGGAACCGGTCTGTATGTGGGATCCGAACCCTCGGCGGGAGCGCCGACGCGCTTCCCAAGCAGCGCGCTGTAGCAGTGCGCCACCGGGCCGGCCCTGCATTTTTATTTTTATCAAAACAAATATAGTTGGTGGAGACTGGCCAGTAATAATGTGTGGAGTCTTTAAACCAAGAGTAATTTTTAAATTAAAAAAATAAAAATTTTAAGAGGTTACCCATTAAAACAAGCAACTGAGTTGGAGAATTAGGGGATGACTGTCCTAGTTTTTAAGAAGTCAAGAGTAGGGTACTGGTGGAGGGCATGTAGAGCAGTTAGCATGATCTGTGATTGTTTCTTACTCATTAACAGTGTTGGTGCACCTCATTATTTGTGCATTTGTTTTCCCTGGGCAGTCCTGTCAGCCAGTTAATCCATCAGCTCTTAGGCAGTAAATGCAGATTTCCTTTTTCTTTCCTTTTATTTTTTTTTAAGATTTTATACTACATCTTGTTTAAAGTCCTATGAATGTGTGTGTGTTATTAAAACTGCTTTTTCTCAGTTTGAACTTGTGTTTGGTAATATTTGTTTGGGAGTGGGGGTGATCAAGTATTTTCAATACCCTATTTCTTCCCCTGCCCCATCCCCTACTTTTTAAACTGATTTCTTCCTTCCTTTCTCTTGTTTTGGGTTCTCTAGGTTTCTAGCTTGATGTCTCCTGTTTCTGGAAGACATAAAGCCACCGCTATATACAGTTCACTTTTATGTAACCCAGTTAATAATATGCTGTGTATTTTTCAGCCAGGAATTCAGTAACCTTATTCGTACCTCACTTGCTGTGTTCATTCAACAATTATTGAGTGCCTACTACATTTCTAGGACTCAGTGAGGATTCATTGGTGAACAACACAAACAGCACTCTCATGAATCTTACCTGCTAGTATCCAGGTTAAAATACTCTTTGTTGTTGGGCAAAAGGAGTGGAAAAGAATACCCTTCACCTGGCTACCTTGTTCTAGAGCCTTGGGCCAAGAAAGGGGAAGCCATATAATGCAGAGGCAGGGCTCAGGACCATCTCCAACATGCCAGGCAGATGTGGGTCTGGGTACGCCACCTGGGGGTTGACACCTCCTCATAGGAGAAACTTCTTAGGAGCTCATAGCAGAGCTAGGCATTGTTGCTAGAGGCCTCGAGTTCCAGAACCATGCCAGCAGACACAAAGAGCTTCAGAGGCTTCTCTTTCCAGCTCTCTTTTTGCTGGTAAAAAACAACAATAAAAAAATAATAATAGGTTTTTTACTTTTAAAACCCTGCATGCTAAAACTAAAAAAACTGATGGGTGGTGGTTTTCCAGCATTTGTGGACATGTCTTGACACTTGCTTTTCCTTACTAACCAACCATTCCCTAGGCTGGAGTCAAGAGGGCAAACCAGAAGGCCTAGCTTTGTGTCTGACTCCAAGACAACTGGCTGGGAGGAAAACGTAACAGGCAAAACAGGCTTTTGAGGCACAGTGGAACAGTAAGACTATAGTATTGCTGCACTGGTGACAGTCCCTACTGAAGAAGCATCTCAGCTATATATGTGGCCAAAATAAAAGATATGGCACCTAAATGGAAAGTGCTGGGCAAACCAGAGGTGGAGATGACAAAGCAGGAACAGAAATGCCGCCACAGTGGACAGAAAGCAGGACAACTTGACTAGGCCAGAGTTCTTCCTCAGGGAACCTCTGCTCAAGTTTCAAGGGTTCATACCCAACTCTTTCACCTAGGATCCCTGTGACAGTAACTGCTCTGTGTAAAGCCTAGAGTCAAACCCTGATGTGTAGGTGGGTGAGAATTGGTACTGAGGACAAGCAGCACTACCCTCAGCCACTTCCTTACAGCGGAGTTGGGGAAAATAGCCTAGTAAAGACAGAACTCATGTTTGTGTTCTGAAGTACTCCACGTTTCCAAATGGGATCTTCTTTCTCACAGCCACCCTGTGAAGCAGCCAGGGTAGTGACTTTAAGGATGAGTAACAGCCTCAAAGAATGACCTGCCTGTGTCACAGGGAACAAATTTATGGCTAGGTTTGGACTAATTTTTTTTTTTTTTTAAAGATGACCGGTAAGGGGATCTTAACCCTTGACTTGGTGTTGTCAGCACCACGCTCAGCCAGTGAGCGAACCGGCCATCCCTATATGGGATCCGAACCCGGGGCCTTGGTGTTATCAGCACCGCACTCTACCGAGTGAGCCACGGGCCAGCCCTGGATTAATTCTTGATTTGATTTTGAGTCTCTTCTTTTGCACTGTCAGTATTCCCATCATTCATATTTTATCAGCTTGATTTGCAGAAAACAGTATTAACAGTCAAAGGGGTTTCCTATAGAAAGTTGCATTAATTGCCTTCACATCTGATACCTTCAGTAGGTTCAGAGATTTAAGTGGTAGGACTGCAGAGAGAAATGGATTGTGGTCTGAATCTATATTATCATAAGTACTGAAGTAACTGCCCAACGACAGTTTAGCAAGTGCCATACTAGAACTTGGTATTGATATCACACATTTTGCTCATTTAAAAATGTGTGAGGTTCTAAGTCTGCCATCAGAATGCCTCAGAGAAGAAAGTCTTGCCTCAGAGTGAGGTTGAGTGAAATGCTGAACCTACCACATTGGCCTACTTGCTACTTCATTAGGTATCTGAAGTCAGCACTTCAAGTTATATGAGAACTTGGGGAGCTATGCCTTTAAGGCCACTGGGCCCCAGCAGTTTAATTTCTCTCCTGTCTGGTACTGTGGGGCTAACAGTTTTCCTGCCCTGCCCCCACTATTACCTCTAACCCACCTTCCCACAAGGACTGCAGATTATTTTTTATTTTTTTTTTTTTTGCAGCTGGCCACTACAGAGATTGACACCTTTGACTTGGTGTTATAAAACCATGCTCTGACCAACTGAGCTAATTGGCCAGCCTGTTTCTTAGTCATGTCTTTGCTATCTTCCCAGCTCAGACTTCCTTACTCAATCCATCAACTCTTTCACGACTTTTTCGCCTTGTCTTTTCCAAACTACTAGCTAAATTTTCCCTTCTGTTTCCCACTAGGAACCCTCCCCTTTCATCAAGTCAAACTCTGTGTCCTCTTTCATGTCCCTTCCCTTCTCTCTATGTCCCCAGCATAAGTCTGTGCACAAACTTGCACATTTCTGCCTTTACTAACAGTATTTCCCCTTCAGGTTTACCCTGCTTCCCCCTTCTCAGACTTTTCCAGTCTTGATTGTCCTCTCTGTAAATACAAGAATGAATTTCAAGGCAAGTTACTTAACTTCTTAGAGCCTCTTTTCCCATCTATAAAATAGGGCTATTACCGACTCAGGATAGGATGAAGGAACAATAAAAAAAAAAAAAGAAGAAAAGCTGGACAGTTTATAAAAGCACATGTACACCTTTTTTTTTTTTTTTTTTTTTTTTTTTTTTTTTTTTTTTTTTTTTTTTTGGCAACTGACTGGTATGATGCGTACACTTTTTTAATGTAAGCATTTCTCCCCAGCTACTTCCCCCCACCCCCCACTGCCAACACACACACACACATACATCTTATTTGCAGAGTGCTGAGAGAGGTGTTTGGGGAGAGGTGGAAGTGTGATGTGGGCCCTGCTGTCTAGCATTCTGCAGCCACACACAGCAGTCCAAACTATGAGATTGTATATGATTAAGTGCCAAACTGTGAGCTTTGGGAAATCCAGAAAGAGCGGTGAAAGACCTTTCCTAGGGTCCCTTCAGTTAAATGTGCCACTTGAATCCTGTTCAGACTCCTAGGCTCATGCAACAGTCAGTCACATATGTTCCTGTGGTCCTTGTCATTTTGGTCCTTCTCTTGGGCCCACATCAATACTGTCATGGATGAGAGAGGGAGGACCAGGCTTGTCCATGGCCAGAGCTCAGGTTTCAAACCCTAGGCTGGCTGGGTTCACTTTAATAGGTGGAGGAAAGGAGGAAGGACCTCAATTTGTAAGGGAGAACCATCTTAGTTGAGTTAAAGGAGTTGGAAGGTTGACTTGGAGGGCGTTTCCTAGATTGCTGCCGGGTAAGATGCCTGAACCTGGAAAGGAAAAGATATTTGTCTAGGAGGGTACGCTGGGAGTTTTGGAGTAGGATGACGTTCAAGATGAGCTGGAGGGAAAGGCAGGTGTCCTAGTGACCCAGTCCGTGAGGTGAACCTGGGTTAGAGCTAAGATTTGGTGAGTGAACAGGTGCAAATGGTTGTGGCTTATTTATCCACAAAAAGAACATTCTCTGTGTGCACTTCAGGTCAAGCTGTTAGTTCATCCTCTCCAGGCCTGACCCCATCTCACCCACTCACAATCTCAAGTTGAAAAGCCAAGCAGCAGGAGGCCCTTGAGCTGGGAATCAAGACCCTGTCTTGTGTTCACTGCTGCCCCAACGCCTGGTCTCCATCTACTGCAGCTCTCCACACTCTAGGCCAAGAGCAGGAGGGTGGCAGGAGCGCAAGAAGGGAGGCCCAAATTAGAGGATAGGTCAGAGGGCCCTCCAAGAGGGAAACCTCCAGAGGACAGGTTTGCACGGCCCCCGCAGAAGACAACTCGGAGGGGTCCTAGGGTTAGAGGGAAGGGGAAGGCGGGCTGTAAGCCAGTGGAGTACGCATGGGGTGGTGAGGCCACCACCAGGGGGCGATACCCGGGCCTCAGCGCCCGCAGGAGGTGGGAGACCAGATGCCCGAGGGCTGTGGGTGAGCCTCGCCTTCAAACCGTTTCTATTGTGTTAGGGTGGGGGGCGCACAAGAAGAGAGCGGCGCTATTCCCCTCACCCCACCCTGTCGGCCCCGCCTTCCAGGCCCCCGCCCCACCCCTGGCTCCGCCTCCACCCCCGCCCCGCCTTCGGCCGC